CGATCCCAAAATTAAGTCTACCAGTACTACGAATAAGTCTACCACATATTATAAATCTACCACAACTATAAATAAKTCTACCATCGCGTACACCRTAATAAGTCTACCAGACGTTTAATAAGTCTACCGTAACAGAATGGTAGACTTATTTAATTTTGGCGGGAAAAAATTTCTGCTTCATTAATGRCAGTTTCGTAAATACGKTTTTTGTCTTYAAATGAAATAAGGTTAACATAGGAATTAAAATTTTTTCAAGGTCATTCTAATAATATTCAAAGATAGAGGTTATTCTAGTCCAAATCTTTGTTTGACAAGGTCATTCTAGTAAACCACCCATTATTATATGTATGCTTTTCTTCTGTTAAAAATCTGAAAGAAAGAGAAAAAAAAAATGAATTGATTGATGATTCTGAGAGCCACTTATATTATATGTACGCTTTCAAAGGCAAGAAAACTCGAATTTTTTTATGGGTCTCCGAGGATTAATATAGGTTTCCGGCCTAGGATTCATTCCTCTGGCTAAATGAGAAATCAACTGTCAAAACCAAAATTAAATACCAAAAATGGATAAAAGGGTCTCGTCAGATTCAACTGAAACACATGTATAAGACCACTTCCATCCATCCATAGTTCTTAAGAGGATTTTTTCAAATATATTAAAAAAAAAAAAGCAGTGATACGATATTGTATGAGTTCACCATCCAAAGTTTCTTAAACAACATATTTTAGAACCTTCTCTCTCCATTTCTAGAACTTTTTTAATTATTTATTAATATTTCTTATACTTCAATATTATATTTTAGTACTTTTGTAAGAACCTCCTAATGGAAGTGCTCTAAGAAAGCAAATAGATAAAGTTTCTATAGTTAAAAGGAAAAAAATGAGAGTATTATTATTCTTCTAATATCTTAAGCTTGATGTTCTATTCTTCTTGTGACCCACTCTTGCATTCTTGTGACTACTAAAAGCCTAAGAGCCCAACTTGCGTTTTATATTTTTCAAAAAAAAAAAAAACTTGCGTTTTTATATATATTTTTGGTTGAATACTCTAATAATTTCCACACTCTTATGACTTTATACAATTTTGGTTCGTCCTGAATGATTCCACGGAGAAGTGAAAAATCTAGTTTTTCATCGTTTTGTATTGATCCGTTAATAATCCAATCGGTTCAACATGTGACTGTCTGATCCAATCCGTACACATCCTTGTAACTGTGTTATTTGTCTCTCTTCTTCTGATTTTTATTCTTGGATCTGTTTATGTTACAAAAATAACTTAAATAAGTTGGGTTGGTATATACAAACTTGATGATTACCGACCCGGCGACCCTTACCATACGTTCTTCATATAAATATTATTTAGCAAAAAAAAAAACTCGAAGTAGCTATAACTACTTAGCAAATACAATCCAAGTCTATATGATATAAAAAGATATATGCATCTGAAACATATACATTATGATAAGAATTCTTGGCCACGAGAACATATATAGGTATAAATTATCTTATAAACATCGACCACGATCCATGTCATGTGGCGCTATATTTCTTAAACCAACTTCAGTCGAACCAGAAGATCATCTCTGTTGTTTTTTTCAACGAGATCAAGTACTTTTTTAAAAAACTTCTATGTATTTTGTAAAATATAATACATTTGTATTAGTTCTTACTGTTTATCTATGAACAAAAAGAGTAGACAAAATATCTTCTCACGTTGTTCATCTCACATGGGGGATCTTTCTTCCCCAAACCTAACCACCACGCATTTTCCACAGGCTTATATAAACTTTTAATCGAGTCCTACGATAAAATCTTAATTAATCTTCATTTCTATAATCTAATTAATGTTCCTTTAAATCAAATTGTGCTCATATTGTTCATTCTTATTTATGTTTTTTCTTTAAATAAAAATTCAATCTTACTTTCACGCAATGAGTTCTCTAACGCAGCATGCATATACTACAGATTCTAAGGAACTCATCAAATGTTTTCAAAACCCCAAAAAAAAGACTAATTTTTGCAACATAACTTACTTAATTTGA